GTTATTTCTCTTCTTTAATATGTTTTGAGCTTGTTGGATTCTCTCCCCTTTCTGCATGTTGATATCATGTCTGACTTCATTATGGCTGCCAACAGCATCACACTTGTGTGGGAAATTGTCATTTGGAGACACAGCATCTTTGACTTTTTTGTGAGACTCCTGATGTTGCTTCCTGTGATGAACAAAAGCACTTCTCTGTGGTTCGTGTGATTCTTCTAGGGAACACCTTAGAGAAGTAATTAGCTAGGCTGGTAGTTTCAGAAGAGAGAAAGTGGACCTTTAATACTACTAGAAAAGCCTATTTTTTTTTTTGATCAACAATCAATAGTTTTCTTTGTGGCTACAAGTCCTTTATAAAATGAAAGTTGTGAAGACTCAAAAAATGATCTTTAAGCCACAAGAAGCATGCACAAATGGTGCTAATTTTGACTTGCTGAGGTTTTTTTTTCCTCATTACTGCATTGATCACAACAGCTGTAGGTACTTAAACTCTTTCTGGAACCCTTGTACCCTACATTATGCACAAGAGAAGTGGGGACGATTATTACCAATTTTTCACAGAGCCCTGGGAGCCACTTGGGAGGAGGATAGACATTCTTCCCCCCTGCCACATTACCTCCACTCTCACCAACTGCACCAACTTCTCATAAAATAACACAGTAATATTCATTAGGAAAATGGAATTTTTATGTATAAGAACAAAGGGAAAAAAACAGTAAGAGAAAGAAGGGAAAGTTGAGCTAGTCTTTTTCAAGCTAAGAGCGTCTCAAATGATACGTAATGAAAGGTCTTTGTAGATTTGATTGGGTGTGTGTGAGCATTTATGGCACCTGTGCCTGCGGGGGGGGGAGGGGAGGCGGGCACCAGCAGTCATGTAGTAATACTGGTGTGTAATTACAGAGCACTTCACTGCATTCAGCCATGGTTTGTTTCTCTGATAATTTCCACTTTCATTGTTCAAGAGGCTGTGGACACTGTAGAAGCTGAAGTTCAAGTACCTCCAGCTGTTGAGATAAATGAATGGTGTAGCTGTTTTTAAAAGTTTCCAGGAGGAATGCTGTTTAAGAGGAAAGTTGGACAGAAGTACAGTTAAAATATTCTACTTACCTTTCCAAAGCCATAAAATCCTAAATCTATAAACGAATCATTCTTTATTCCTCTTCTTCATTCCACAAGCTTGCTGAGCTCCTTTCTCCCCACCCAGTACAGCTGGTCCCCCTTGCCCGCTATTAAATTCTCCGTATGGGAAAAGCTACTTCGATTTTCTATTCAGCTCCACAGACATAGCTCCTATGTTGTCTGCACTTGTGATGTATAACAGATTCAGACTTTTAAAAATTGTGTTAACCTGTTTATATGAAAGAATAAAAATGTTCCAAAAGGACGAAACCTTGCCAAATCTGAACACAAATCTGCTTCCGTTTTCTTGCATTTCCCTCTTCCGACTAAAGCTCTCAATTTTGCATGGTTTACGTGTACTCAAATCTTAAGTGCGAAACATTAGAAAACATAAAGTTAACAAAACAAAAACTAATGTAATTTCATATCAGCACAAGGGAGAGAATACATATCTTGTCTTCTGTTTTCCAAAGACCCTTTATTTCACCAACAAAAATATGGGCTTTATTTAGGAACAATGCCGTTTGATTCATTATTATTACTCTTCTCATCTTACTGTATTTTACAAATAGCCTGTTCAAATTAATATAAAAAGTAAGAACATTTATTAAAGTCCCACAGTACAAATCTTAACTATTACTTCAAATGTTTAGTAATTTCAACAAAATATGAGTTACATTTCTAAACTGGTCTCTAGCAACCTGATTACTTTGGGTTGAAGTGTACTTTTTCTCTTCTTCTGTGTGCGTGTTAGATAGAGACTGATGATGATTGATATGTAGATAGATGATAGATAGCTGATAGATAGATAGATAGATAGATAATAGACAGATGGTAAAGTAATAATAGGGATGCCTGCCTGGCTCAGTTAATATAGCTTGTAACTCTTAACCCCAGGGTCATGAGTTCAGGACCCATGTTAGGTATAGAGCTTACCTAAATTAAAAAAAAAAAAAAAACAGAAGAAAAGTAAATGAGGTAAAATATTACCAATAGGTATATCTGGGTAGAGTGTACAATTATTTTTGCAATTTTTTTTTTTTTAGAGAGAGCAAGCACTTACAAGAGGAGAGGGGCAGAGGAGAGAGAGAGAGAGAGAGACAGAGAGAGAGAGAATCTTAAGCAGTCTCCATCTTCAGGGCAGAACCAGGTGAGGGTCTCAATCCCATGACCCTGGATTCATGACCAGAGCTGAAATCGAGTCAGACTCAACCGACTAAACAAACCACCCAGGTGCCCCTATTTTTACAATTTTTTAGGTCCAAAATTACTTACAAGCAATATTTTTAAACTTTACATGTGGGGGTGCCTGGATGGCTCATTCAGTTAAGCATCCCACTTCGGCTCAGGTCATGATCTCACAGTTCGTGAGCTCAAGCCCTGTGTCACACTCTGTGCTGACAGCTCAGAGCCTGGAGCTTGCTTTGGATTCTGTGTCTCCCTCTCTTTCTGCCCCTCCCCCACTTGCACTCTGTCTCTCTCTCTCTCTCAAAAATAAACATTAATTTTTTTTTAAACTTACATGTGGCTTAAACATGCATAACCAAGAGTCCAACCTCAGCTTTTGCCCCTTGCTCTCTTTCTCCACACATACCCTGAGCTCCAGTCATACCAAATTACTTGTAATTTCCTCTAGTGGTTGCCCTCATCCTTCAGTCTCCCTGGGGAACTATGACACACTGTTCAAGACAACAGGAGGCCATCTCCCCAGAAAAGCCTTTCCCTGATCTCTGCAGGCAAGTTAAGTCTGTCTTCAGTGTGAGAAATGTATTATTTTTACATGTTTGTCTCCATTATAAGAAATAAAAGCGAGACTGCATTTTGTGTGACCTTGGGAATGTTACTTAACTTTTGTTTGTCTCCATTTATTTGTAATGTGGAGATGACGGCACCCACTCATAGGGATATTTTGAAGATTAAATGGGTTAAATCATGTTAAGTGCTTAGAACTGACTGAGGAATAGCATATACCCCATGATGCTAGTTATTATGGTGGTGTGATAAGTGGTATAGTATCAGAGAAGTACTAGAATGACAGGAGGAGGGATAATGGTATATCCTACACCAACCCTTGGAGACACTCACTAAGTATTTTCAGGCAAATGAATGAAGGGATGCTCAGGGAGTACATTATTTCAGTATCAGAAGGAAGAAGTAAGGAAAGTCTCAACCACAGTGGTAACAAGGAGGAAAGAAGGAGAAAATGAATTTGAAAAGCCCTCATGTAGATCTACATCAAGTGGTGATTCCTTGACTATAGGGGGAGACTTAAGGGATAGAAGCTATTATGTCATCATTGTCTTAGGACCTTCACAAAGCCTCATTTTAGGCGGTATTTCTGAGGTATGGCTTCACTGTGGCCCTTAGCACTATCTCCGGCAGGCAATATGGAGCAGCCTCTCTGTTGGGGTTCAAGTATTTCTCTCCGTGTTTTGCAAGGCATTTGTTTAAATGTTTATTACATATATATATATATATATATACACACACACACTATATATATATACTATATATATAGTGTGTGTGTGTTTGTAGATATTTGAAAGGATCCAGATCAAAGATAACATATAACCACATAATAACATAATAAAAATTTTAATGATACTTATAAATAAGGTGGGGAACAAAAAATGAAACAGTTTGGGTGTCATTATTTTTTATTTTAATTTGCTTATTCATATCTTACATGGCTTTGTATAGAAAAAAGAAAGTGACGTAATCCTGGCCCCAAACCCTGTTTCATCAGAGAAGTGAACTGACTTTGTATATCAATGTTAAAAAAATAAAATAAAATAAATGCAAGAATACAACTGTATTGCCTCTTAATAGCATTTTATTTAAAAGTTTACAATTAGAGCACTTGTAATAACACAAAAAAAGTTTAAAAGTGACATAGGTTGCCCTGCAGGCAGGATTTTTCTTGTATGCAGAAGGAATGGGGATCTTATGCTTGAAATGTGTGGAATTCATAGCGCAGTCTAGGGTTCAGTAGATCAACAGAAATCCATAATCTGAATGGAACTGACCTAATGGAAATGACCATAATCTGAATGGAACTGAATGGAACTGAATGGAACTTCCAAGTTATTCCAAAGTTGGCAGGGGAGAGGAGGTGGGGAGACATGGCATCAATCTGAAGATTTCACTTGGCTCAGGTTAAAATCCAAAGGAAGACAAGAACAAAAACCACCTCAGCTGTATCTGCTGAGATACTCCATATGCTGACATACTCCAAAACACAAAACTGTAAACCAGTGTCTTTTAAGGAAATCCATACTTTAAAGACCTCTGTCACTTCTCAAATTCAGTACTGTAAAAAGGGATAATGATGTTCCTGGATGAGCCAGATAATTGAGAATAATTTTAAAAAAGGTACATTACACAAACATCAGGATGAAGGGATTCGTACATTAAATCCATATTTCATGTTCAGAAATTGTTATAGTATTCTGCCTTGTTAAAAATGTCCCGAGGGTGGCAGATGCTATTTAGAAGCAATGACAATAGAGTCTTGAAAGTGCGTATAGTAATAGTTCAGAAGATAGAGCAGCAACTTTTTCTACCTTGATCATTGTTAATCAGCACCATAAAATGTTAGCTGCAAATAAGCACATAGGTTAAGTGTAGCCCACCAAAAGTAAGGCATTAGAAAATAGATGAATTCTCATGAAGAACAAGTTCTTTAGGAAGGAGTTTAAGTAAGGTTTGTAAAAAGTGACTGACAACAATTTAATCGTGAAAGAAAAGAACATTAAGGCATAACCAAGTGAACTCAAATAGTTTAGTATCAGTATTGTCTCTGTGGAAGACAGTTGGGAATCAGTTCCTTTAGATACAGTGTGGCTTGGGTTGATTTCAGAGGGAGCTGGGTGTCTATTTCTCTACACCATTTTCCCAGCACTGTACTGCCTGTAGTGGAAAAGACTCTTGGAGTCCACGTTGCGAGATTTCTGCACAGCTTCAGCAAAAAGTTTGGTCACCTGAAAACAAGGGTAGGAAGCTTAGAGACCCACATGACATGAAAATGAACATTTAATGAAGCACGAGTGAAAGGTCAGTTTCTGCTCCTAATTTCCAAAGGGACATATGATGAAGGACACAAAAATTTTTAATCTATTTGGGACTTTCTCCTGTATCTCAGACCTTACCCTGAATATACCTACCCCGCCACTCAACTCCCCGGCGCGTTAAACTGACTCAGGGGGAAAAAATATGATGGGTAGAAAGTTAATGAGTCTTGAAGTAGGTGACACATTTGGTGGGACATATCCAAGTGGAACTAAATATACCTCATGTGATCATTTTCAGTGAATTGGACTAGTGTTTGCACTATATGTGGATCCTCAATTATCATTAACATCTTGCTCTTATGTGGTGGCTTTCATTTAGAAACAATTCAATAAAAGTTTGTATCTTTATTCCATGCCACACCACACTTTCTATTTTAAAAATAATCATATGGCTAATGGGAGAGCACGGCTATCTGTGGCTTTTGATTATCTCAATTGCTTTATCACCAACTGTCTCAGTTAGGCCATGACCCACCATCGTAGCACCGTTATTTTAGATTCTATTTAAAAATTCTACTCCATTCTAAATGCTACGAGAAAGGGAGAAGGGGGATGTGCCGATACTGATGAGCAGCTTCAGGAAGACACAGATATAAAAACCTGCATATAGCTCTATTTGAGAAAAAACAGAACATACCTGGAAATTAGTGAGGAGAGCAATACCACTGTCAACAGCTGTCCTCCGAATCACATAATTATCATGGACAAACTTAGTGTTATTATTGGGGAGGTTAATCACCAGGTCAATGCTGCCATCTCTAATCAGTCTGGAAGAATAATCCAAAAAACAAAAGTTTGCAGGTGACCATGTACATTTTATAATTAGTTTTGAAAATACTAACGTCATCGTTCTCTGATGCCATTCAAGTCAATGCCGTACTGAGTTGATGGCCACCTGCCCTTCTCCATCACTAACGGATGCTCAAATTACACTCATTTTGGAGTTACAATATTTTGTGTTCTTGAAAGAATTCTAGTGAAAATCTAACTAATTAAATGGAAAGGCTTTTCTTTTTAAAATGCTATCTATCCGTAGAAGAATTGGTAATTAAAAAAAGATTTTAATGTTTATTCATTTTGGAGAGAGAGAGAGAGAATGCGAGCAGGGGAGGGGCAGAGAGAGAGGGAGATACTGAGCCCGATGCTGGGCTCGAACTCACGTACCAAGAGATCATGACCTGAGCCGAAGTCGGAAGCTTAACCGACTGAGTCACCCAGGCACCCCAGAAGAGTTAGTAATTTGATAGATATTTACTTATTTTACAAGGAGGTGATTTCTCCAGCACTGAAGTCTGTTCCACGCCCCCCAGACCACCACTTCACTGCCTGCTTCCCAGTGTCTCTCAGCTAATGGTATGAGAACACAGGTCACCTGAGTTTGAATTAACCCATTTGACATTCTGTTGCTGGGTTGCTACACATACCAGGAGACATTTAAATGTCAAAAGCATGAAGAAGTGCTAATTGTTTTTACAAAGTCCTAACCAAGTGCTTATAGCATCATTGGAAGTCTACTAAGGTCTGAACAATTTGCCCTTCTTTTACTAATTTGATAATAATTTGTAGGTTGCCTTCTTAAGAGCCCTAGCAAATGGTATGCCTTCTTAAGAGCCCCAATAAATGGTAGCCATTCAAAAGACTGTAATATCCTGGAACAGCTGAGAATTATCTCTTAGTTTCCCATGCCATGTACGTCTATAAGTGTTGATGTAATGGTGTTCCTGAAGGCTCACATAGTGCACTAAAATAATAAGTCTTACAACACCTAATGATGACATAGCCTAAGGCATAATAACCAACCTGATGAAAAAATGGTAAGTTAGGTAATTCAAAGGATGGTGTTTTTCTAGCACTCACCGTAGTCTCCTGCATACAGCAAGTGCTCAATAAATTGACTAATTTATTGATGCACAAACTCAGTGAAATGCAGCTGGTCAATCTTACACTTGATATTCACATCTATCTACGATACAATTCAATGTAAGACATAAGGTGCTTCATTACATTCTTCATGTCTGTGATTCTCATTACTGAATTCCTGGTATCCATCAACGAAAGCATCTTTACTAGAAAATATTTTGAAAGATGCTGTGTATCACCATGCACACATATGGCATCATGTGTTACAGTAACAGCCAAGTTCATGAGAATGAAACTTTCCTATAGTCCACAGATTTATTCATCTGAAACTGGCTAAGAGGACTTTTAGAAGACTTGCAATAGGATAGGGTAAAATATTCACATCATACTAGTTCCCAAAGTTAATCCTCTATCCATTTTGTAATCTCAGAAATCTCTGCCCAGTTCTTACTTTCTGATGGAAGAGAGGCTGGGATTCTGTCCTTCCTGAGACGGCCATGCCACTGGGGTGGCAGGGACATTGTTGGCATTGAGCCAGTCCGACGTCGCTTCCGTGGCAAAGAGCTGCATTTAAAATGGAAAAGTCAGCTAGTGTATCACAGGGGAGGCTTTCATGGAGCAAAGAAGCCTACTGGGACACACATGTCATTTAAAACATAAGGTAGAAGAAAGTGGTGTATATGAGAAGCAATAATCCCATGAATAGAGATTTGGACTCACTGTCCAGAGTCATGGGCACTTTAAATATTTTAAAAATATTTGCACTAAGGAAAAATTTAATAACCTCAATTGTAACTGCTTTTGTAGAGGAGAAAAATGAAGAATTATTCATGGCTGAGGATTCATTGTTATCAGATCAACAAAGCTCCATGACCATAGGCCCACTCTGAGCCTTGGGAATTGTTTTATTTTACTGAACCAGGCTTTGTGTGAGACATTTGTGGCAGAGGAGTTTTGGCTTCAACTGCTGCAGTCGTTTCCATACGACTTCATATGGAAACAAGAAATGGAAAAAGGAACAATGCATTGGAAATGCACTGAAACTTTGTCCCAATTCTGTGCAAACTAAATGTTCTAAGCTTTTAGCTGGCAACTTCTACGGAATTTATGGTGATTTTGTGAGAACTTAAAACTAGGCTTTCTAATTATTTTATTCTATTGAAGTTTTGAAACTGTCAAGTTAGTTATACCTCTCAAGTTGAAAGAATATGTTTTGAGCTATTTCATTCCCTATGATTCATTAATAATTCGCTTTTGTGAATAGATTACAATGCTTACAGAAAACAACTTGAAAAACTTAATATCACATACCTTGAAGCCTTCGTTGTGCAATTGTTCAGCCACACCAAGGAATTTGGGACGGAATGATTGCTGCAATTAAAAGAAATTAACAAAATTCACTTTCTGGATATATTGCTCTTTATTGAGTCATATGTATGGTATTCTCTCGGGCGGGACACTGTAAAAGGCAAGTCCCTATGTTGTCAGGTGCTTGATATTCAAAAGTGACAAGTTTGATCCTTTAGCTCTCCTATAGTGAGTATGAGTTCTCATTTCCCCATATAAATGAGATTACACCCACGTTGTCTTGCTCTCTACAGTCTTACTTTTCACCTTGCCCTCAAATTCTTCCACTCTCTACTTAGTCCACTTAGTCTCTGTCTGCATATTAAGATCTGCCCCAGCCCTACACAGATGCTTCCTCTGGTCAGGGAGAACTTAAGGACAGCTGGGTTAGGCGATCAATACTAGGTCAGCATTGCTGACTCTTCTGCCTGCTCAGCCTGTTCTAATTGCTGAATTCGAACTCAGTCCTGCTCTTAGGTAACTAGGCTCTGTCCTAGCAGCTTGTGCATACCTCCCTGCAATAGGTCAACCATTTGGAACTTAGTTTTGCATTAATTCTAAGGTAAAGAGTTAAACAAATGGGCTCTGGAGACACTAGGCTGCATTTCAGATCCTGGCTTTACCATTCATTTTTAGTGCGTTCTTAGAAAAGTTAATGTCTTGAATCTCAATTTCTTCATTTTTAAAACAGCAGTGAGGTAGTAGTGTATCTATTTCTTGGGGCTCTACAACAAACTGTGTGACCTTGAGCAACTTACTTAACCTCTCTGATATACTTTCCTCATCTGTTAAATGGGAATAGTAATTATCTGTGTCACAGGGGCATTGTATTTGATGACTTAATTTATAAGTAAACATTACTTAAATGTTAGTGCAGTAGCTTAACACAGTTACCTGTCCATTAATAGTTCTCATTAAGTATTAATTATTATTATTATTAAAATATTTATTTTTTCAACCTGTCAGAGACTAGATTTCTATCCCTGCACCCTAGTTTCCAAGCCTGGCTTCCTCCACTGGTTGTCACACTTCAAATACAAGCCAACTTCCTCCTCCCATATATTTTACCTCCAGACAGGCTTCCCTGATGTTCTCTCACTCTTCACATATTTTCTTAGAGTCCATTGCTGTGAACTTCCTAGAGTCTCAGCTGGACCCATCTAGTTTCCAGGTCCTGCCTAGGCTTACCTCCTTCCTGTGACCACTAGCCAGTATTTGCAAGACAGTGGTCAGGGTGAAAGGAAAAAAAAAGCTAAGTGGCCTACCCAAAAGTCAACCCCTTACCTCGACTTCATTAACTTGAATGCCTAAGTGAGCTAACTGGAATATGAAAATCATACACAGTTAAAAACATATCTATTCTGCCTTAAATGAAAACACTTTGGCTGTCTTCCCTTGTAAAAAGTTGGTAAACAGTTGAAATAATTTGGTTACTTCAGTAAATGTTTTATAATCTATTTAGAAACCATATTAGTCATGGCTAAAAAATATCATGGAGATTATCTTATTTCAGAGTCGCAGAGAAACTAAGAATCGCAATAACAAAACATATCAAGATCCTTGTACAATTTTGATAATGTTCAGCCCATAAAACCTTCTAATATTTACTTTCAGAGGCTTTCTGAGAACAGATCTAAATCCTAGGAAAAGACTCCAAAGACTGTGTTCAAATATAAAATTCTTTAAGATTTTGGCCCTCTCGATCCCAGAACTGCAGTTTTATGAGAGGAAACTATTGGCAAATAGAAAAGATAAATGCAACTGGATGAATCTCGGCTAAGGCAGGCTCAGGGGTTATTCATGACAGTCTTCTAGAACATGAATTGTAACCATGCCCAGGATAGTAGCTCTCCATTCCTGCTTGGGACCAGACAGGAAGAAATAGGCCTCAGATGCAAGAAGCTTATGGCTAGACATAAATAAAAGAAACTAAATAAGTATAAAATCAGAGAGTAACTCAATGGCTTTAGCGCAATTTAATGAGGTATGTGGCAGTCTCTTTAAGAACAGGTTAAACAGAAGAATAGGACAATCGTTTTTCAAGTTTGATTCTGCTTGGAAAGTAAGGGACTGAATTAGATGGCATTTTAGGTTTTCTTCAAGTTTTAAGGTTCCTTGAAACACAGTAAATATGCATGCAATATTCTAAATGAACTTCTGAATTTTGTCAAATCTCTCTAATTTGGAAAAATCTCTCTAATTTGGAAGTGTGATCTTCTGCTAAACACAAGACACACTTAAGTCAGCACCAAAACACATTAGAAGATTCAACAGGGGGTGCCTGGGTGGCTCAGTTGGTTAAGCGTCCAACTTCAGCTTAGGTCATGATCTCGTGGTTCGTGAGTTCGAGCCCTGCATCACGTTCTGTGCTGACAGCTCAGAGCCTGGAGCCTATTTCAGATTCTGTGCCTCTCTCTCTCTCTCCCTCTCTCTCTCTCTCATTCTCTCTCTCTCTCTCTGCCCCTCCCCTGCTCATGCTCTCTCTCTGTGTCAAAAATAAGTAAACATTTAAAAAAATTTTTTTGAAGTTTCAACATAAATTTGTCCAACTTATTAACTAATACATTCATAATATATGAATACCTTAATAATATGAACCATTCTCAATTTCTTAAGTTTTCCCCTAGAAAAATCTCACTAATAATATATGGTCATGTGATAACATTGAAACCATTTTCTAAAATATTATTTCACAAGCACAGCGGTTCTCAAAATGCAGTTCCCTGGGAAATCAGCATCACCTAGGAATTTGTTTAAAATATAAAAGTTTGAGCCCTGTCTCAGATCTATGCAAGCAGGAACTCCCAGAGTGAATCCCAGTAATCTGCATGTTATCAAACCCTCCAGGTGATTTTGATACACTTGGAGTTTAGGAATAGGAGTAGGAATAGGGAGGGAATAGGAGGGAAGAGGGAATAGGAGAACCATCCTTCACTCATTTTGTAATTTGAGGTGAAGATGCATTAACCTTGGCCAAAGTCACAGTGAAAAATGTTGAGGAAGGAGTACCAGAATGTAATTTTTTTTTCTTTTCTATTTTAAAGTAAAATAAGTCAGCAAGTCCTCTAAGACCTGCAGACACCAGTCAGAACCTCATTATGGAGCTGTTTCAATGCTGTCCCCCAAGTGGAAAAGATAAATATCCAACATGACAGTATTGGCAGTTCCCAGCCGGGGAACCACTCTGCCTTCTGGTCTAGGGTGTTGGCTTTCATAGCCACATTATAAACTTCTATCAAACATGTATTGAACACTTGTGACACATAAAACAGCCTCTCTACAAAAAGAAATTACGTCTGTCAGCTTGCAACTGAGTAGCCCCAGATTTAATAGCTGATTGAAAATACCTGGGTAAGAAACCATTTGTTACTAAAGGTGAAAAGTACAAACTGATTTATTTCCTGGAAAATGTTTATAAGAAGGAAAGTCCTTTAAAAATGAAAAAAAATATATATATTTCCTCCAATTATCATTTTCACATTACTCCAACTTCTGGCTGCAGAGCAGAAAGCCAAGTTAATATTGTGTGGTGCCTGCGGACTCTACGGGGACGTCTGCATCGACAACGCTATGGTTGTTCCTAATGATTCTGTATTGAAGATAAAAGGTTATTCATGTCACTTGGAGTTGTCTTTTTCAAATAAAATGCTTGCTTTGTGTTTCTGAGCAATGCTGAAGTGCAGATGTCAGGATGGTGCTCGCCACTCCACAAACATTACTGAATAGCCCAATCAGAGGGGGAAAAACAGTGAGCGCTCTTGATCTACTCTAGAGTAAATCATTTATTGTTAAAGGGTGTTCCAGAAAACTTCAAAACAAGACAGATTGCCTACTCATAGCAACTAAAAATAAATCCTGATGGGATGAAAGGAGGCTGGAAATACTGCAGGAAAATCAAAGATGATTTTGTTGTCATATAAGCCTGCATTATGCCTTTCTTATGTTAGGATCTAGGCCTATGGAAAGCCTCTTGTTAGAGACCCAGTGCATGTAACAGTTAAGTTGACAAGAATCCTTTGACAAAATCTAAATCTTGATTCCTTTTCCTCTTAAGTTCTAGTTATACGCAATTGATGTTATGAATATTTCAAATTCCCCAGGTAATTCGACCCATAGGATTTAACTTTGGGAGGAGCAGAAACAGAGGGTCCATGTGTGTAAAGGAGTAGGGTGGGAAAGAGAAGAGAAATAAGAAGTTAGGAAGATTGCAATATAACAAATTAGCATGTGTGTGCCCTCCCCCTCCAACACACACACACACACACACACACACACACACACACTCTACTAAATGTTGAGAAGTGGCTGATACTTGCTAGTAATGATTTACTATTTAGAATATGTGTTAAACTACCAAAAATAAGAAAAAATGTTTCCTGGCTCAGAGTTACTTTTATCTCTCCTCCATAGTTCTCTTTTCCCCCAGCTTTCTCTTGCAACCTATTGTGAATATTAATGAGTTAAGGTATCTTCAATTAAATCTTCCTATTCATAGCAGGAAGCTCGGGCAGGGTGGGGAGATAAAGAGAAAAAGAAGACCTTTACTTCAAATAAATGGGACAGGTATCGACCACCCTCCTCATTTATACATGAAGGAATAAAGCAAATTAACTGCAGTGGTGCTGGCTACCAGCGTTCTTCTGCGAGAAAAGTCTACACAGCATTAGGCTGAACAAATGAGAATCTTAAGAAATCAAAATACAGTTGTGGATTCCTTTCTTAGAACTTTATTAAGTGCCTCAACTAAATGCATCCCTTTGTATTTACTGGCCTTAATGCCCATTTATATATTAGCAGTACTTTTTTAGGTCCTTGTCAGTTCTGACTTATATATTCAAATGAGTTTATACAAATTATTCGGACCAAGCTGAATCATAGTAAAGAAAATGATTTTTTTAAGTACAATGTATACTAAAATATGGAACCTTAATTACTTATCCACAGTTGCTATGAAGTTTGGGTAAAAGGCTGACGTTAGAGTTCATTCCATTCTATCAAAGAAGATACCCAGTGGGTTTTATAGCTATGAAATCTCTAGTTAGTATATTCTGTCATATTGTTCACTTAAATTTATGCCTATGCGTTTTTAAAAATCACTCTCAAAGAAAATCCCCCAGATAGTAACGATGGGCCAGCCAATAACTGCTGGTAATGGCAGCTCTTCTGTGCCTCCCATTTAAGTAGGTCAGAAAGTGATTCTTGTCCACCTCCTGACGATCGATTTTACCACAGCTACAAATATTTTATTAAATATAATTTTACACCAAACATTTCTTTAAATATGCTTTTTAAACTTTGTAATTAAAAGAGATACATATCTAAAGCCCAAGCATGTGCACTTATACGCAGGAAAAAAGTTCTTTGCAAGAACGCGTGTAGCTGCTGGAACACTGATTTCTTTAAAACAGAATGTACTGAAAGATAAAAATTCAATGGGCAGAACCTCATTCCATTAAGAAAACTCTTTTGGGGCGCCTGGGTGGCGCAGTCGGTTAAGCGTCCGACTTCAGCCAGGTCACGATCTCGCGGTCCGTGAGTTCGAGCCCCGCGTCGGGCTCTGGGCTGATGGCTCAGAGCCTGGAGCCTGTTTCCGATTCTGTGTCTCCCTCTCTCTCTGCCCCTCCCCCGTTCATGCTCTGTCTCTCTCTGTCCCAAAAATAAATAAACGTTGAAAAAAAAAAAAATAAAAAAATAAAATAAAAAAAGAAAACTCTTTTTACCCTACACAACCCTCTTTTCCCCCCTACAAAGCAAAAAAATCAGTTCACTGATGTCAAAATCACGCAAATGCTTCAGAGGGATCAAGTTAATTTTTGCTTAATATTTCCTTGAAGCCCTGGAACCAAACAAGGCACAATTTTATACATCACTGCCTTCTTAAACTGGTATTTTAAAATGTTAGCACTATTATGATTAGTTGTGAAGATGGGGACTAAGGGCATGGTCTCCTCTGAATGCCCCCAGGCCTCACATTAAACTTTAAGCCATAACTGGAAGTTGGGAAAATACTCTCTTACTTGTGACTTAATAAGACTGAATACCCATTTATAACATGATGAGTCTCTCATATGGTGTGATGTGTCTCTAAACTGCCCTTAAGCTTCACAATTACAAGTCATTTCGTTAGCCTCTGCTCTAACTGTTCACCATCTCCCTTCTGGCATCTTTATGAAGCAAAATTCCAAGTTGCTCTTTGCAGAAACTTCTCCAAAGCCACTACCCATCCAGCCTCGAGAGTCTAATTTACTGATATTAAGACACCCTAATGAGATGGTATCTATAATAATCACCCACTGACTTGAGAATACCTGGTACTGCTCGAATTATATTTGTTATTAATTTTCATGTAACCATGCAGGGTTTGAGCTTATTACAAGTACAGTAGGGGTGATATATAAGACCATCTATTGTTTTTATATGATCCAAGAATTACGAATCTCAAATGTAAGTGAATGACCAGGTGGGAAGCATTTAGTATTTTTTCAGGAAATTTATAAACAGAACAGTCTGTACATTCTTACAATAATTATTCCAAGGAGTAATAGAAGTTTCCCAGCTACCGTTTTGCCCTAAGATTTCCACTTGATTTGCCATAGTAAAACAGTAATGCCCTTTAAATTGCATAAAGATGCTCTCTTATAATTATTTCACCTTGCTTTGACTTAGAAGACTTTACCAAATAATAATATTTCAAGAACCTCCAGAGTGTATTGTGGGCTCTGCTGACTTTCTTAAGCCCATTAAGTTACCCATCTTCAAGAACTTTCAATTAGTCATGGAGTTTCAGGCTGAGAAAATTCTTCAAATAATGCCCACATCTTCTCCAGCTTTGGATCTTTGACATTTACAGGCAGTCCTCAACTTCAAAAAGTTCAACTTTAAAATCATGTGAAAGCCATACACGTTCAGTAGAAACCATACTTCAAATTTTGAATTTTGATCTTTTCCATGCTAGCAATGTGCAGCAGGTCAATCTTTTGGGATGTAGGGCAGCAACAGATCCAAGTCAGCCATACAACCATGAGGGCAAATAGCCAATACATTTATAACCATTCTACTTTTCACGTCCAGTAAAGTATTCAGTAAATTACATGAGATATTTAACACTTTATTACAAATAGCCTTTGTGTTAGATGATTCTGCCCCACTGTAGGCTGACATGAAGTGTTCTGAGCACACTTCAACGTAGGCTACACTAAGCTGTGATGCTCAGTGGGGCAGGTATAGTAAATGCATGGTATTTTCAACTTGTGATGAGTTTATTGAGATATAACCCCGCCGTAAGTTGTAGATCTATAGTAGAAATTGAAATGTGAATGAATCAATGTAAGGAAGAAAGGAACAGAGGTTGGGAAGGGAAAATATAGCTTCAGCTTGGAAGTATTTGGGTTTGAGACATCCAGATAGAGGTCCAACAATACAGGAGATTGTTGGAAATATAGGATGACTGAGGATAAAGATTTAAAGTTGACAGCTATCGATAGAACAGTGGATACCACAGACATGAGTTGGCAAAGGGGAAAGCAAGAGCTAGAGACAGAGAGAAAAAGATGAGGTGAGACCCAACTTTATGGAAAGCATTTGTTCAGGGGCTAAGGAGGAAGAACAAGGAGCAGAACATCTATAACAGATATAACCAAGGAGTAGAAGAGACTCCTTTTGAAGGCATCCTAGATCCTTTTCAGAACAAATACCCTTTTCACTAGAGACTTTATCTTTCTGTTCTTTTTATTTATGCACTTATTTGTATTGCCTGCCGCAGTGGAAAAGGGAAAAACTCAGGGAACATATAGAGAACAAGTGTCCAGTTTTTCTATTAGTTGCTGTTTTCTTTAGTGAAACTTAGAACAAATCTCCCCTCTTTTATACTACAGTTAAGGTCCTTGACACAGCCACTCCTAGCCTGTGCCCAGGGGCGTGCACACAACCACAAACCACTCACCTGGATTCCAATCAGGATGCCTTTCTGGGGTATCTTAAAGCCTGTGGAAAGCATTGCCTTTAGGAAAGCTGTATGAATGCCTTCACCAAAGCAAGCCACCTGTTTAGAATAAATTAAAAAATAAAATAAAAAGAAGCCAATACTAGTCAACAACCCTTACCAAAAAAAAGAAATGCAAATAGAAAGCACTTTATTCATAAACTCCTTTGCTAGATTTTATTGAGTTGCCCAAAGACCATGCAGTCTGAATCCCGGGATTAAAAGCCTGGCTGGGGCAGATGTATCTTATGTTTTTAATTAAGCATAATGAATGAATAAGCAATTCTTTCTCTATCCAACAACACTCCATGGAGCAACATAACTGGATTCTACTGTGAGTTATTTGGATACAAATCACAGCTTCTGGTCCATAATGTGGTGAGTTACCAAATGTTAATATGGACTTAATGTTTAAATAACAGTATATGTTATGTATGCTAGGCCACAGTGCATGAATTCATGGGTCAGTAGCACAAATGCATAACTGCTGATCAATTGGTGAGTAGTCATTTAGCACAGCTTATGAGAAAGTTTTCTGAGAAATTCAATAAATGCATGAAAATCTCAAAGGACCTTTTTTAAAAATCATTTTCATAAAATGAACCAAAATACTCTGCTACTAGTTCTGAATACCACATCCATAGGTAGAACAAAAACAAACAAACAAACAAACAGAAAACAATTCCAAACTAACATATAATATTAGGATATACAGAGGTTTCATGTAGGGTAATTATGCTACAATATAGCTACAAGTCAAATGGCCACCAGAACTATAGAGCAAGTGGTATATTTGAGCATGATGGAAGTAGATTCTGCCATGCATATCATCATTTGGCACAGGTACAGAACCACCATTATAGTAAATAACATTGATGATGGCTAAATTCATTCTTGAAGCAAATGACTCCCTTACTGTGAAAAGGATGTTCTCATGACTATGACCTTCAGCCAACCACCAGTACCTGCTGCTTCTCACTCAACAGTGAACATTTTCTTTGGTCAATTAATGGCCAACTAGCTTAAGTAATGTCAACCTAAGTTAATGAAACCCAAATTTTAGTGATAGGACCAGGCAATCACATCATAAAAGCAGATACAACAACAAAGAAGAGGTTTCATCAATCTTCTACAAAAAAAATCATAGAAACTGGTCAGATATTCAAGTCAAGCTTGGGACTACCATCCCCACCTTGCCACTGAGAAAATAAAACACCCGTAGCTAGATCAAGAGCTAAAGGTTTATTCAACCCCACAACAAGCCACTTGAACACTGAACATGTCTCTTTGAAGCCTGAGATTTCACTCAGCCAGAATTATTATTCTCATTTCGGGTATGAAATAGACCTTATAACATCACACTCAGTGACACTTGGAAGTGTGACTCTAATCATGGAAGAAGAATGATCTCTATACTTCTGAAACAGATACAACAAAGGTGAGCTGAGCTTCTAATTCTTTCATATTTTCTTATTTCCACAACTCCAATAATGTATGGCTGGAGGCAGAATGGACATAGGATTGAAAACAAGTTTACCACACTAGAGAAAACAGCACAAAGAAAAACAGATCTCTTTCTGATCTGAACCTTGGATCCGCCGAAAACAGCCCTGCTACTGAATAACCATGGGATCGAGATGAACCTGAAGGGTATTTCCTTAAACAGCTGAGAAATGTAATGCAGGCCCATCACTTTAAAGTTAGGTTTTCTCAACTATTAAATTAAATGCAGCAGCAAAGGAGCTAGAAGAAGGTAATCTCTAATCCAAATACAAACAAGATAGCCATTTATTCCTCACTGCCTGCCATCCTGTCTCACTTGCCTTCTCGGCACAGATGCTGCTCGTAACCAGGCAACCATATAAAACATCACGTATGTATTGCAATTAAATATTTTTCTCCTTTCAGGTGTTCCTTAATAGCAAAAAAACAAGGATGCCTCACAGTCTGATGTTGCCACTCTGATGTGCACTGATGAGAATCTGAAGGTTGTAGCTAGTAAGTCTGTCATGGGCTAGGTGATTCATAAAATGTCCTGACACTGACATGTAGGGAACTCTCTAGAATCTGACAGCTCTTTACAAGAAACACAGTTCACATTCTTAAAGAAACCTTCAGCCGACAAGAGTCCCAACACAAGTGAAGAGGGACATCCAGTGGCCAATCCCATTATAGGTTTTAGATAATCCCCAGGAGGTTAAAGTTGCTTTGAAAGTTGTTCTGGGATTTTTGCATTTATCTACAAATTCCACAGTGTTTAAGCCCATGATCTTTTTAATGCTGTACAATCATTCTGCATATTGCTAGTAAAAATCCAACGATCTAATTTCATAGTAGCAAGTGAATGAGGGGTGAGGGTGGGAAGTACTATTACACAGAGACCTTAAAATAAAGCAGAAATACCCAGGAGATATCTACTTAGACATCTAAAGAAATATTTGGAAGCTGTGCTGCAATGTGTAATGTGGAAATGAATTAGGAACACGTATATTGTATTCACAAGTCAAATATAGGTGAAAATTTAAACTCTGGTCCATAAAAGTACAAGATTTTTCTTTAGCTGAAAAATCTTAGGCCCTTTCAGACTTACTCTGATAACAGAAGTTTGCATTCCCCTTACTTCTTAATAGCTTACTTACTGCATTATATTCAGATCATAAAACCATGGATTTCAAAGTATGAAATCTTTTAATGAAAGCGTTCAAGGATCATTAACTAGTTACCTCTCCAGTGGAAGCCATCTCACATCGCAGAATGGGGTCAGCATCCCTCAACCGGGGCCAAGAAAACATTGGAGCCTGTCAGAAACAATGGGGAGGAAAAATATGTGAGAGAAAGGTATAAAAGGAATAAGAGAGGATAAATATATTTAGTGAACGAACCGTCTCTCATAGGATTCATTTAGGGTATGGTAGACATGTAAAAACTTTCTTTGGTCCAAGCATCTGACTTGAAAAATAGCTTTAAAACTCTGTTCCAAGAATTTCTTGAGATCTTGGCCAAAAACTTGGGTTAAATAATCACAAATTATTTCTGTAAATAGGGCCCCTGTGACCAGTCTAGGCCAGTGTTTCTAATCTGGCCTACACATATTCTTATTGGAGTGAATTCAAACAAAGTCTACTGGGCATTGGTTTCCCCAAACACAGAGTTCAAACACATTTTTTTTCTTGGTAGGCTTTTGAAACATTCCTCTTCTTTTTCTGATCATTTGAACTTGCAACAAGCAACCATGCCAGAAATGTCTGTCTGTAAGATGACTTCTAAAACATGAAACTGTTGTTGACACCTCTTAAAAAGCTTTGAAAACATTCTGCTTCGGAACCACTTTGGCCCAGAACTCTCATATGAACTAGAACATAGATAGGAGTGTTTCCTTTTCAATTATTTTATCAGTGCAATTCACTAAGAACCTAATTCTTGTTACTTGATATACCCATTTGTCTAGTCTGGACTATTTTTCCTTTGACTCTGGCACCCTTCTAAATTCTCCTGGGAGTTCTAGTTCAGGGTCCTCTCACCAGGTCATTCTTAGTCAAGTTATTATACATTTCTGCACTCCAGCTTCTCTGTACCCTCATCTGTTGACATCCACCCACCTCACTAGGCCTATGTTAAGAGTGACTATAAATAAGTAGTTCTTTCTTTTTTAATTTTTCTTAATGTTTTTATTTATTTTTGAAGGAGAGAGAGAGAGAGAGAGAGAGAGAGAGAGAGAGACAGAGCATGAGCGGGGGAGGAGCAGAGAGACAGGGAGATACAGAATCCGAAGCAGGCTCCAGGCTCTGAGCTGTCAGCACAGACAAGTAATTCTTTTTTAAGAAGTCAAGATTCATATGGGGCGCCTGGGTGGCTGAGTCGATTAAGCATCCAACTTCGGCTCAGGTCATGATTTCATGGTTCGCGAGTTCGAGCCCCGCATTGGGCTCTGAATTGACAGCTCAGAGCCTGGAGCTTGCTTCAAGACTCTATGTCTCCCTCTCTCTCTCTGCGCCTCCTCCACTTGTGCTCTGTCTCACTCTCTCTCAAAAATAAATAAACACTAATAAAAATTTAAAAAGAAGTCAAAACTCGTATAAATGTAATTAGGAAAGCTGTAAACTGAAAGATACAGTGCATTTTCAAAAATGCATACCTATCTCAATACCATTTTTAGCTGGAAATTGTTTCATACACAGATGTGTGTGATCGTATGTATATTTCTTGTCTATGAATAAAGAAACATGAAATTGAAATTCATATATAAATTACCAGTGGAAAAATATTTTTCAGGGCCTTCTATTTATTGGTCTCAAACAAAAAAATCCTATGTATTTGTACCTATGTATAGTCCTATGTATTTTTACTTATGTATAATTCCTACTGAAAGCTTTAACAATTTATGCCATGTCATTAGTCTCCAGGAATAAAGTGCTACCCGTCCCCAATATAATAATGCACTATAAAACCCAGGGCATCCTAAATTATTGAGTTAAGTAAGGTCAATAAATATTTTTTGATTTATAGTTTCAACTTAAAGCTTCCACTGTAAATGTCAGAAGTTGGAGTCTCAGCTATAACACAATTATGGTTGAGGTCACTAGTACATATAGGAATGGCAATCTTTTGAAGGCATCCAAAATATGTAAATATCACAAAAATACATCACACAATATAAGTTAATTTCATCGTATGCTTTTTCTTTTTTTTTTTTTTAAACGTTTATTTACTTTTGAGACAGAGAGAGACAGAGGATGAACAGGGGAGGGTCAGAGAGAGAGAGGAAGACACAGAATCTGAAACAGGCTCCAGGCTCTGAGCTGTCAGCACAGAGCCCGACGCGGGGCTCAAACTCATGAGCCGTGAGATCATGACCTGAGCCGAAGTTGGACGCTTAACCGACTGAGCCACCCAGGCGCCCCATCGTATGCTTTTTCTAAAATATTTAAATATATTTATATAATATCTCACTAATCTTCATACTTGCCCCATGAAGTAAAGGTCATAATTATAAATATTCTGTGCATTGGGGTGGCGCCTGAGTGGCTCAGTTGGTTAAGTATTTGACTCTTCATTTGGCTCGGTCATGATCCCAGGGTCATAGAATCAAGCCCTGTGATGGGCTCTGTGCTGAGCATGGAACCTGACTGGAATTCTCTCTCTCTCTCTCTCTCTCTCTGTCTGTCTCTTTGTCTCTCTCTCTCTCTCTCTCTCTCCCTCTCTCTCCCTCTCCTTCTGCCTCTCCCTGGCTTGTGCATGTGTGCACGTGTACTCTCTCGAAGAAAATTAAAAATAAAAAAAATAAATAAATACTCTGTGCATGAGCATACTGATACATCTAAAGGAGCACAATGGCTTTGTTATTAATGTATTTTTAGGAATATACATATATATTGGAAATTAGTGAACAAATCTTAAATTTTTCTGGTCAATCTTCATAAAGGTGCCATCAATTTCATGACCTACATGGCACCACCATGAATGGCAACTGCTATTTCAACTTTTCAAGTGGAAACATTGTGCCGCTGAAGAAAGTAGGGACTAGTCAAGGTGGCCAAGGTAGTTAGAATTTAACCAACACCACGGAGTAACAATTTCCAAGATCCCTGCATTCCTGAAGCCTTGGCATAGCTCAAAAGGGGCACAATTCAAGCCTTGTCCTAACAAAATATGTCCAGAATTGCTGTTTACCAACTAAACTGACACCATCACTATGGGCCACATTAATATCGTTTATAATTCACTCAGCTAGTTGGTTTTCAAGTTATGCAATTCTAAATGATTTTTTTTAATTTTTGAAATGGATAAAAGTTCATATAAAGTTGTCTGTGGTGCAACTGCATCGTGTTATTCAAAGGAAACATCGTAAATCCCTAGTCCAGCACTTTAGTTAGAAGGTTCATGAAGTATCAAGATCTTTTTTTTTTTTACTTTATTAAAAAAAATGTTTTAAGTAAGCTCCACATCCAGCGTGGGGCTTGAACTCATGACCACCAGATCAAGAGTTGCATGCTCTTACTGTCTAAACCAACCAGGCACCCCTTGAAATTATTTTTGATGAAAAATTTTTCCTTTAATTTCCTTGAAACTTAAAAAAAATGACTAATAGGTTTTGTTTAATGTTACCTTAATTGCAACATAGTCAGCAGGAATTATGGGATGGTCCAATGTTGGAAGAGGTTTCTCGTCAATGTTCTCTTCAATCATTACCTTGGTGGCCACATCAATGAAGTCTACCCCCAGTGTTTTGGAAACAAAGGGGAAGGATCGAGAAGCTCTCAGGTTACACTCAATCACCTGGAGACATGACAAAATTAAAAAAAAAAATAAGAGGATGTTGAGAGCCAATGGCAATACAAATATTCTCCCTGCCACTTGGGTTCTAGTTGCTTTTCACTGGGACCCAGCTCTTGTTTTGCCAGCCTCTGACTTCTCTTCCCACTGCTTGTACTTTTGCTAACCATTTTCTTTTTAGTCATTATCTTTGAATTCTGACTTTTTTTCATCTACTTTCCACAATTTCATCCCCACACACTGCTGACAGATTTCAATGCAGAGCTCAGATAATGCCACATCCCTACCAAAAAGCCTTCACTGGGATTCCACTGGCCATCAAATTAAACTCTAGTCCTTGAAGGCCTTCTATTCCCTTGCTTCAATATATACCTCTCTACATTATCTTATACCATTTCCCTGACCCCATTTTTACTTTCTAAGTTCACCTTCCACTATTTCCCTAGAAAAATAATTTCACTAACTAGTCACTGTCTCCTAAAATATGCCAAATTTTCTCTTAGATGTTCTATGTGTAATGTCTTCTCTACCTTCCTTTACTTGTCAATATTCCAGCTATTCTTTAAGATCCAGTTTAAAATATAAAATCTTCTTTGAAATCCACCTCAAACCAGGTATATGGCACCCGGATACATGTGTGGGCACATACATGTGCACACACACACACACACACACACACACACACACACACACACAAGCTAGCAGACATGCTCTCTCTGTTCTGGGACTCCAATACCATCGATTTGCACATTCCTCCCACCAGTTATACTCTAACTTGTGTTACAGTTATCTGCAAAGTCCTCTTCTTCCCAGTCCTCACCACATTGAATATCTCTGAAAGCAGAGACTGTTGTTTACACATTGTTATTACCACCTTATGCCTTCATGTAGTAGATGCTGAACCAATAGCGGTTACTGATTGGTTACAATAAATTAATTAAGACTAGTGTAGGGGCATCTGTGTGGCTCAGTCAGTTAAGCGTCCGACTTCAGCTCAGGTCATGACCTCACAGTCCATGAGTTCAAGCCCCGCGTCGGGCTCTGTGCTGACAGCTCATAGCCTGCAGCCTGCTTCAGATTCTGTGTCTCCCTCTCTCTCTGCCCTTCCCCTGCTCATGCTCTGTCTCTCTCTGTTTCAAAAATAAATAAAAGCATTAAAAAAAAAGACTAGTCTAGTTGATTTAACTACTTTTGGTAAACAGGATCTAAAACCTCAGTGCAAGTAATTTGTGACCATTCTACATATTCAGATTATTTTATGACAGTCACTGTGTCCATCTATACTACACTGTAGAGGGCAGACAGTGATCTTCTTTCTCAGCAGATCAGAGTGCTTTATGTAACTGTGACTGACAGATCAGTGCCACCAAGGGCCTGTGTCTTCAAACAAGGCAGGCATTATATGCTGTGCAACAACCCACACTCAGACACAAATAGCAGCAGGAGTCTCAGTTGCTCTGTGATTGTGCTCATGGAGAAGATTACCAGAGGGACACAGACCGACATAAGCTGACACAGCTGTGGTGTTCTCTCAAGCACCTTGGCATTTCTTACCAAGACGTCGTTTCCTTTGACAAGAAACTGGACGTTGAATGGACCAGAGATGGCAAAGGCCTTTGCAATCTTTCGGGTAGCATCCTTCACCTAGATCAAAAGGACAATGATAGTAGTGCTAAAGAGCATACCTTAGCTGGAAAACACAATGAAAAAGCTACAGCACCTTAAAGTTAGGTTTCTTTAATTTCTCTTTAAGGAGAGCTACATCTCCACTAATAACCGTAACAATAATAATGGCGATAATAATAAGAGAAGCCACTAGTAGGCATCTGTTAACAAAATAATAATGTGCACTAAATATTCATAACAGGCTAGCAAGGAAGAGAACACATAATTTTACAAAATTATCTTTCTGCCAAAGGTCTCTATCTAGCCACCGTTATATACTCTGGTTTTACTTTGAGGGCTAAATAATTCTTTCAGTCTGGGTGCTTCAGCACCAGAAACTGCAGTCCAAACTGTCTATTAATCTCCTGACCTACCTGCTGAGAAGAGCAGGCCCTGAAATGACAAAGCACTCAAAGCAAAGAGACCAGAGAGATTTCCTTGATGTACTTTTTCTCTTGCTCTGGACTCTACAAGGGTAGATATTATGTTCAGAAAAAAAATGATGTTTCCTTGCAGGGAGGTTCTGCATGTCACATATACAAACCCCTCTATCCAACCAGAGCCAGATGGTACCCATGCAATGCGGGGGCACTGGCAGCAAGAAACGAGAGCACCTCATTCATTACTTTCACAAGAGGGATTCAGCAACTACACTGGTCATTAGAGGAAGTAGAGTCCATGGTACATCGAACTCTGAGGGATTTGGAAAAATCTGAGTTCTTGAGGTCAATTATATCAATATGAGAAACTGAAGTACACTTGAAATCTGAGGACAATGTTCTCTTATGAGACTGGTGTTACAACATAACCTGCTACCTTCACCTTCTAGAACAAGGTAAGATCTTCAGAATCCTGTCCAACATACACATAGCCAGATAGGCCTGCCTAGATTTTGATGGCAGGATTATTGGAAAGGTTCACTGAAAAAGCCTAGACTGACCTAACATACCTAAAGACTAAGGAATGTCCACGTGAATTATTTAAGATGATGGTCTCTGAGAACACCTAGCAGTGCCTATTTAGTACTGAGGCATCATTCTTGGGAAGATCTTTAAAGCAATGTTTCCGAAAGAAAGGTTCAAAGAGACATATCAGAAAGTGCTGGTTTGAGATGAGAGTTAGGGTAGAAGTGAAAACATAGGTTCCAGAAGGTTCCTACATTACTGCTGCATCCCTGCTTCTAACTGAAAAACATAGCTTTACATGCCGCTCACCTAAGTGGCTCTCAAAACATTGGAATCACCTGCAGGAGTGTTCTCCAAATGGGATCCCCAAACCAATAGCAACAGAAACAGCATCACTTGGGGACTTGTTAAAAATGAAAACCTTGGGGCCCTGCTTAGAAGTACTTAACAGAAACTGGGGATAGGGTCCAACAATCTATATTTTAGCAAGTTAGCCAGGCTGTTATGGCACCACTGAAGTTCAAGAATCACTACACTAGCATACAACCAAGTGGGCTCAAAAGGGCAGGAAGGAGGGGTGCCTGGGTGGCTCAGTTGGTTAAACATCTGAATCTTGATCTTGGCTCAGGTCATGATCTCATGGTTCATGAGTTCGAGCCCCACGTTGGGCTCTGCACTGATAGCACAGAGCATGCTTGGGATTCTCTCTCTCTCTCTCTCTCTCTCTCTCTCTCTCTCTCTCTCTCTCTCTCTCTCTCTCTCTCTCTCTGCCCCTCCTCCACTTATGCTCTCTCTCTCTCTCTCTCTCTCTCTCTCTCAATAAATAAATAAATAAACTTTTTTTTTAAAGGGCAAGAAGGAAATTGTTATCTCTAAAATATCCAGCAGACTCAGAGCAAGAAAGTTCCCCTTATAATACACTTCACCTGGGGCATGTCCTACATTACTCCTTAGTTAAAAACATTTTTTTAAATTTTTGCCTTTCCCCTTGCACTTTTATTTATAGATGATGACCTTTTCAATGGCTCCTTGGCTGATGGTTTGTGTGGGCAGCATCAGAGTGGCATCTCCTGAGTGTACACCTGCATCTTCCACATGTTCAGAAATGGCATGGGAGATAACCTGGCCAAAAGAAGATTTCAGAAAGAGTTGTCAGGCATCTATTTTGGTGAAGCTACTGCCTCACCACTCACTCCCCCCAAAAACCCCGCCATTCTAACAGATGCCTAGAGCATTGACTAGTTCCTTCGCTCAGTCCTTGATGAGAGGAATATGAAGGGCTGCACATGTAGACTTAGCCACCTCCCTGTGCAGTGACAGACTGCCCCAGGGCAGCTGACAGTGGCTGAGTTGACCTCCCTCCTCCATTGACTGGAATGGGTACAAATAATAGGAAAAGAGGACAACTAAAGTGACTCATGTTGACTTTTAAGAATAGGAAACAAGCATTTGGGAGGCACAGGAGGGATCTTTATCTTTTCCTTCCAGATTAGGTTTTAGACACTGGAAAAGAAAAGATGGGAGAGGTGAATAGCTGGGTGGATGTTACAACTTAGGTGGACCAGAAAGAAGGCCTCAGATCTAAAGATTAAGAGATTTTTAAATTGAAATTTGAGAGGGCACCTGGGTGGCTCAATCGGTTAAGCATCTGCTTTTGCCTCAGGTTATGATCTCACGGGTTCATGATTTCAAGCCCCACGTCAGGCTCTGTGCTGACAGATCAGAGCCTGGAGCCTGCTTTGAATTCTGTGTCTCCCTGTCTCTGTCCCTCCCCTGCTTGTGCTCTGTCTCTCTCTTTCTTAAAAATAAACATTAAAAAAAATTGAAATTTGATAAAGAAGGGAAGCAAGAGGCAATTATTCTTGTCTTCTCTTAGAGGTGAGGAGACTAAAGCAATATAAGAAGAAATAATCCAAGTGCATGTGACTCCTGTATGGCCAACTCAGGATTTTCAAGCCTTATCTGTCACATTCCAAAGTTTATGGTCTCAGTCGCCATAACCTGAATGTTAATTCTATATGTGTCTTTGGGAAATGATAAAGCTGACTGTGGGGGAGAATAACTGGGCAACTGTAAAAAAAATAAATTACAGACATGATTTGTTTATCAGATTTATAAATGACTTAAAGCAGAGTAACATTTGAGTTTTCTGCTGTCACTTATGAGCTCTGTGACCTGGGCAAGGTACTTTATCTTGCAGGCTTAGTTTCTGATAAGACAGTGCTAACAATGGTATCTGTCTCACAGAATGTTTATAAGGATAAGAACGAACACGTATTCGGTGTTTGACATGATATTTAGTGCATAGTAAGAACTCAGATTTTTTTTTATAGTGTCTAGAGATGGGGAGGCAATATTGCCACTGAGCTCTGAAAAAAATCATAATGTAGCTGAAGTACTATGTCCATTTCTGAGTGTGACTGTTTAAAAATTATGTGAATAACCTGGATCATTTCCAAAAGAAGGAGTCCAGGCTGATAAGCAATGGTTGATGTCTGAGAGAAGCTTAGGTTAAGAGCATATCCTAGCAAATTGGAACCAAATCAGGCCAACAGACCAGCATTACTTTACCAGCACAATATTTGAAAAAGCACAAATTTCTCTAGGCCAGTCTTACATTCTCCACTTTGACATTGGTATGATTACATCCCTCTTATGTTATAACTGAGTATTAAAATACGTAAAATGTTGAAAGGGGGAAAGATTAACCATATGCTCTACAATTCTGGAGGCCAGAGGTCAGAAACAAAAAAATTCTAGGGAAGCAGACTTTACTTAAAAAGAAGAAATAAATGAGATGTCTCTCTCTCTCTCTCTCTCTCTCTCTCTCTCTCTCTCTCTATATATATATATATATATATATATATATATATATGAGATATCTTTTAACCTGACAACTTTCTGTGTTCTGTGTAACCAAAGTTATTAAACAGAAAACAGGTGAGCACTTTCTGGTGATGCTGTAAAGAGAATTCTCATCCTTGGGGTGAGGGGTTAAAATAAATGATTTCAAGGGTGCTTAAACTCAGGATTGTATGATTCTGTGGTATGAAGTCATCATTACTGTGTATATATGTATATATGTGTGTGTGTGTGTGTGTATGTATATATATCACAGCATATGTTTTATATATGTATGTTCATGCAACATGCAAATAACCCTACTTTGAACTGTTAATCTGGAAGACAAAAAAGCCAAAAAGAAGATTTAACATTTTCAGTAGTGTTTTGAAGTATTTACAAAGTAGAAAATGAAGAACAACTTTTTTATTTTTCATTAAAGCAAATAAAATGACATGGAGTCCCTAAAACATAACTTCCTATATTTCAAGATAAATCATAAGTGCCTTATTAGTGCACCAGGCAAACTAAAGGAAAGCATTTCTCACATCTTCATTTTTCCCTGAAGTTGGAGGCATTCATTGTATTAGCAATACAAGATGTGATTTGGTAAACAAATTTTATGTTATTATCCTTATCCACCCCACTCTGTTGAGTTTTGTCTTTATTAATGCAATAAAAAAGTGGAGGCTGGGAAATCAAGAGAGGAGAAAAACTAGGGATTCAATCAGGAACTTCAGAAAGCAAAGTATTGGATGTTTTTATAATACTCGTTGAAACATAAAAGGAAACCCACAGACAAAAGAAAATGAGAGAAAAATCTATCAAAAAGAATGATGAATACAGGATGATAATTAATTTTGAATATCATCAAAGAGGAATTCTAATAGCTTAAAACACAGGATATATGACTCCCATGACACATCAACTAAATTGTCAGTGAAACTGAAATTTTTTTTTGGACTGAGCAGCTTGTCCACTATTATTAGAGACATGTTTTGTAGAAATAATGACCTCTAATCTGTGTTGTTTCAAAACCGCTAAGGAAAAAAAGAAAAGAAAAGTTCCTTTGCAGTCTCTGAGAGAATGATGTAGGCTCATGCAGTGTTGGAAAAGATGAGTCAGAAGAGAAAGAATCTGGAACTCAGAGTACATATTATATATATATGATGTTATATATATATATAATATATATAATATAAATATATATAAATATAATAGGCTATTATATACTAATATAAATATATTATAAATAATATATATAAAATTATAAATAATAATATTCAGTAACTCTGGGAACAAGATGGGACCCCCATGGACCCTCTCCTTGGCTCCTCTCCTTTTCTCTCACTCACTTAAAAGTCATATTTGAAATCTCAGCTCACGTTCACATTCCACTGAGTACTCAAACTGAAGAAAGACCGCCAGCTGCCCCACTGAAAGCGATGAGAATGACCTTGTTCTTACTGAACAAACTGGCTAATGCAGTTTGTGTAATGTGTTTGGCTATTAAGATTTTTGTTAGCATACCGATTTTGGATTTGGTATACATCATTTTACCTGACACTGTACACATACTGTCAGCTTAAAGATTCTGCCCTTCTGTTTTCCCTTGATGACAGGAACACCAGTGGTGTCTGGGACAAAGTTCAGAGGGGGCCCGGAAGTAGAAATGGACGCTGTTGGCAAAGATGGAAGAGTAAGTGTTTTATCCTTATATCCTAGATCCAGGGCTGCCCATCAGGTTTTGTTTGTTTTGTTTCTTTTTCTTTTTTTTCCTTACGGTGAACAACACAGATTAGAGGTCATTATTTACAAACATGCTTCTAATAATAGTGACAAGTTGCTCAGTCCAAAAAAAATCTTCGTCTTCACTGACAATTTAGTTGATGTGTCATGGGGAGTCATATATCCTGTGTTTTAGCTATTAGAATTCCTCTTTGATGATATTCAAAATTATTATCATCCTGTATTCATCATTCTTTTGATAGATTTTCTCTCACTGTTTCTTTCTGTCTGTGGGTTCTCTTGTTTCAGTCCAGTATTATAAAACATCCAATACTTTGCTTTCGAAGTTCTGATTGAATCCCTAGTTTTTTCCCTCTTGATCTTCCCAGCCTCAATTTTTTTATTGCATTAATAAAGACAAAACTCAATCAGAGGGGGTGGATAAGTGATAATAACATAAAATTTGTTTTACAAATCACATCTTGTATTGCTAATACAATTAATGCCTCTGCACTTCAGGGAAAATGAAGATGTGAGATGCTTTCCCTTAGTTTTTGCCTGGTGCACTAATAAGGCACTTTATGATTTATCTTGAAATATAGGAGTTGATGTTTTAGGACTCCATGTCATTTTATTTGCTTTTAATGAAAAATAGTAGTTTTCATTTCTTCTACTTTGTAAATACTTCAAAACACTACTAAAATGTTAACATTCTTTTTCTTTTGTCTTCCAGGATTAACAGGTCTCAAAGTAGGGTGTGATTGTCATGGCATGAACATACATATATAAAACATATGCTGTGATATACACACACACATACATATATACATATATACACAGTAATGATGACTTCATACCACAGAATCATACAATCCTGAGTTTAAGCACCCTTGAAATCATTTATTTTAACCCCTCACCCCAAGGATGAGAATTCTTTACAGCATCACCAGTGCTCACCTGTTTTCTGTTTAATAACTTTTGGTTACAGAACACAAGAAAGTTGTCAGTTAAAAGATATCTCATATATATATATATATATATATATATATATATATAGAGAGAGAGAGAGAGAGAGAGAGAGAGAGAGAGAGAGACATCTCATTTATTTCTTCTTTTTAAGTAAGTCTGCTTCCCTAGAATTTTTTGTTTCTGACCTCTGGTCAGAATTGTGTAGAGCATATGGTTAATCTTTTCCTTTCAACATTTAAGTATGGTTTGTCTCAGTTATAACATAAGAGGGATGTAATTGCCCAATGTC